CTTTGATTCACAGGTAGCACCCAAAACATTCATTCCAGCATTATTTGGACATGCCAGTGATGACAAATTTATTCAACATCATCACTCTGACCTCATATTTAAATCATATGCGGTAATTTACCATTTGAAAATTCTTACATTTTCTTGGGGAGTTTGATTCTTGTTATTTAAGATTCCAGGGCGTAATCTTTGATTCCAATATAACATTATGTTGTTTGGTTTGCGAACAATTACGGTAGGATATAATTTAAGATTACTGGCAGAGTGTAATATAGGTGTAATATCATAACATCTCATTTCATCATGTAATCTAAAATTACAGACGCAATCTTAGATTTTGGTACAATTTAGCCATTATTTTTATTATTTCTCTTTTTTTTCCAAATAAAATTTAAGTATAATTAAAAATAAAAATCTCTCTTGTTATATATATTACTTAACCCAAAACACAATGAAAGAAACATCTTGATATATATGATCAAACCAAGAGGGTATTTTTTTTTCATAATTCAAATATGCCAAAATATTAAAAGAAATAATTTCATTTAAAAAAAAAAAATCTATAACAAGGACAATTTAGTAAAATGTATTTGCTTACATCCCTTAATCTTATATTCCATGAACCAAACAGACCCTGTTTTGGCTGATACCAGAAGTGTTTATCAAGCATATTCTATGCAGGGGGATAAAAACGTTATAAAATTTGATGGTGATCATAACTCCTCCAGGCCACAGTTTTATTATGATTCAGTCTCCATTTTCTTCTTCAATGTGCTTCGTCCTCCTCAGATTTCTTCTGCTTGTTCAAGTAAGCTTGAGAAATACTCCGACCTTGGTGATTTGAAAGTCGGTGCTGGCATGGACGAGGTGAATTTCTTATCATGTCAGAGCTTTTAAGAAAGTAGCTTAAGAGTAAAAGTGGAGTGTCCTTTTGATTGGTATTAGGTGTCACCTACGTGATGCATGTATCTTTCCATATTTTCTGAACTTTTTCATAAGCTCTGCCTCTTTTAAAGCTTTTCTATTAGGATGTGGATCATTAGCTAGTAGCTAGGCATTATTCAATAAACACCCCCTCAGTTTAGGAGTTTAGCCCGGCTGCATTATGATTATTATGTTATACCTTCTTCTTTGGGTATTTTTATAGTGCAGTTGAGATATAATATACTTTTAGTAATGCTCAGTTTAATAACACATCCCCATGACGTGTCATTCACAAATTTCTTATGCCTAACATACCAACGAGGCAACAACTATGCTGGGGCTGGAAATCAATTTGCTGGATGAAGGCCTCTGCTAAGATGATCTGACCCTAGTATTTGGTGGTAGTAACATGTGTAAAAGCTTTTGTAGAAATTGGAATATATACCTACCAAATATTTAACATGAATTTTGTGCAACTCTTTTTAGAGTCTGTTGTATGAAATAATCACTGGCATTGAAACTGAACCAACCAATGCTGCAAGTTCATCTTCTTCTGCACCTAGCATTTTGACGACTAAGCCAGTAAATGAACTGATCTCAGAAGTTGCACCACGTACTACATTGGTAGGATTCTATTTCACTTTGGTTTTGTATTTGTCTGCTTATTAGACTAATACTCAAATTATATATATACTTTTATAATTTGTTATTTCTTATCATTGCAGGATTCCATGGTTACTAGGAACAATAGATCTGACAGTGACGAACAATCAAATTTACAGGTATCCATGAAATTCCTCTGATCATCTCTAGTATGTAACTCCGTGTCTGTCTGCATATACACATGTTTTATTCTTTTTACAGGGAAGACTAGGTAGTTAGTTTATTCAGTTCCTGCTTGATGTACTCTCAATTAGTCCTGATAAACTGCCATGATTTATATTTAATTTTAATGTTTGATCCACTCCGCACTTACGACTCCACCTCCAGTGTGGCTATCGCGTGTTACTGAACATGTTTTCTGAACCGGCAGCATAACGTGTGAAATAATTTATGAACTTCTGGTTTTCCTCTGTTCATACTTTTGTTTTCATTAGAGAATTTTGTCTTATGATTTGCAGGATAAGCCAAATGGCCAAAGTGACGAATGTTGCTCATATACCAGCTCAAACAGGGAAAGTTGGGGAAGATGCTCTTCACTAGGGGGCAGTGATGAATCTTCTGCGGATTGTACAACTGCTGATAATAGAAATGAGGTTCTTCGACATAATGCATATAACAAGGCTGTTAGATTTTAAATTGTTTTTAGTCAATCAAGAAGAATGAGTTTCAGCTTTTGTTTGCTGCATGATTTATATTTTGTTTTAACTCTAATGGGGTAGCTCCTGCCTATTTCTGGTTTTATCTTTCTTACTGAAAATGGTCTCTGTCTTGTTAGGCGACTCTTAACGTGCTTGCAACACCTCTTAAAAGCATGCCGCAAAAATCGTGTGATCCACCAAAAGAGGAAAAGAAGAAGAAGAAGAAGAAAGGTTCAATAACCCCAAAGCCCAAGCATGAGAAGCTTGAAAAGCTAGAAGCCCTTAGTAAACGACTACGCCTTTGCATCCTAAGACGAGTTCATCACCGGAGGAATCGTTCCACATGAGTGGCCCCAGTAACATTGAACTGTTGTATTTTTTTCTCTTGTTTCTAGTATTTCCGGTACAAAGTGTTCCAGTCATTTTAAACTCGAAGCAAAATTATGCAGATTTCCAAGCTTTACTTTGATAAATGTGTAAATGCAGTATTTAGATTGAACAATTGTCCAAGATTTATGTGGTTCTCTTTTTCTAGTAAAGTTTCACCCAAATTCTAACAATCTAGCAAAAATAATGTTTCTTTTTCATTAGGCACGTAGGCTGAGTTAAACGATGACTGATTTAATATTTTTTTACCTTCTGAATTATAATATCTGCAATAGTTGTTTGGCTTGCTGGAATAGTGTGTGCAACAGCAACACGATGATGCTCACATGAATCAAACCAGATAATTAAGCAGTGAAAGTAAGGATATAACCTATTTGAATTTTATTTCTTCGTCGTCTCCATATTCACTTGTTGGGTTGTTCCTCTACTTTCCCTCATCCCATGAATCAATCATACTTTATTAGTTTTACACCGTCGATCATCATACGGCGTCTACAGTCAATGAAGACTTCACCATATTCTTACAATTTAGCTATTGTACATTCATTGCCTCCATTTTCCTTCAGTTTCTCACAATTAACTACGCTAAGTTAAGGTATTACAGAAGACGTAGCATTTCATAGATCCTTTCAACTTGAGGATGAGAACTGTACCCTGCAAAGTCTACTTAACTAAAACCAGAAAGTTTCTTCAGTTTCCTCTCCCTAATCATCTTCTTTACTCGGGCAAACTCGTCCCATTTCTCATGTGCTGGCATATACATTAACCAAGCGAATCTAGACACCCGAATCGGTGGGCTCTAGCTCAATCCACCGTTTGCCAATGTGATCTGGTATTTTATCACCTTCATGCAATCTGTGCATGCAACAACAATGCTCCTAAAACCACATCGTTTCTTTCGCATGGAGACATTTGCTTGACAACACACATGGCCTTGTCCAGTTGTCCTGCTCGACCTAGGATGTCCACAAGGCAGGAGTAGTGCTCGACCCTGGGTTGTAAACCATATGTGTGAGCTGAATCAAATAGCTTATGACCTTCACGATACCAGCCTGACAGCAAGCCGATAACACTCCTACAAAAGTGATCTCATCTGATTTGGCACCTGACGTTAGCACGCGTGCAAAAACATATAATGCATGTTTGCCATATCCATGGCATGAATATGCCAAATATCATGGCATTCCGCGATGCAAGATCCTTGGCTTTAGACATTGAAAAGCAAGCCTAGCCGAATCAAGATCCCCTGTTCTTGAATATGCTGCAATAAGAGTGTTAGCGAGTGAAGTGCCATACTCAAATCCTAAAGGGGAAACAAAAGCATGAATTTGCCCGAGCTCTGAAATGCTATCACAGATTGTCAACATGCTAGTAATGATAGTCTTATTAGGCATGCATCCAGAACGAAGCATGAGGATCAAGTTCTTAAAAGCCTTCACCTTTATGCCCATCTGTTGTATACCCAACAATCATGGCACTCCAAGACACTGTTCTTAGAAGGGATTGTGTGAAAAAGCTCATTAGCTTTAACCATTTCCCCTTCATCAACGCGTGCGCTTATCATGGCATTCCAAGCTGCTATGTCTTTGCTTACTAGCATCTGATCAAAATATTCCCTAGCCTATTTTGTCATTCCGTTCCTTTCCAAACCCGAAATCATACTTGTCTAAGAAACCAGAAATAGAATCAAATAACTGAATGGCTTCATAGACTGTTAACCTTTAGACATGCAGAAATCATGATATTCCAAGAAAACAGGTTCCTTTGAGGCATTTGGTTGAAGAATCTAAACGCATCATCAATCCGATCATTGTCAACATAAGCCTTAAGCATAGCTGTCCAAGCAACCATGTTTTTCTCAGGAATTCTGTCAAACATGCGGCGAGCTTCATTAACCAAATCATTACGGGCATAACCCAAAACCACAGTAGTCCAAGATACCACATTTTTCAGAGTCGGGCATTTGCTCAAAAAGCAGAACACCCTCTTCAACTTGCCCGACTGCAAAGGAGAAGGCATTTCTGTCGACAATGTCATCGAACAGCTGACGAACCATGTATCATCGCAGATTCAACAAAAATGTTTCTATAGCGCAAGGAGTGAAACAGCGTCTCTTCTTTGGGAGATTATTGTTTTTCAAATAAACAGTGATCATGGAAGCATAAGAAGCAGCGTCCTTTAGACCGTGAGGTATTTCGTCTAACAGTTTCTTTGCCTCTTTGACATTGCGACAGCGACCTAATTCATTAATCCTCATATTACACTCCCAGGTATAAGATGAAGAAGCAGGTTTCGTTACAAGGCTTTCAGCATAATGTGTTGGTGGGCGAACCGAGAATAATAAGAAATTCAAATGAGCAAGACGTTCAGCCACGAGGGGAAGTTTGGAAAAGTGATAGCCACAGAGCATATTCATACGTAGCTAATTATAATCATACAGTGCTGCTAGCAACTGCAAGAGAGATTACATATTCTAATATCACAACGCCCACATAAATACAGTCGCTCGATTAACGATCAATACGACAAGAAACCAAAAAGAAAACAAAACAAAACCACAATTGACTGTGTTTACAAGAAAGAATGAATTCGAAAAACCTAGAAAGTGATGTATAGCTAACACTGGTCACCACTAAACTTCAAAATAATGATGTCCAAGGAAAGCTTTCTACGGGTTGATGTTGCAATCTCGCAAATAGATATGATCATAATCTACATACTTAGCCCAATAGTTTTTATACTTGGGCATGCCTATGTCCAACCATGGTTTCAAGTTGCCATTGTAGTGTATAACAGCAGCTTGCTCGATCTCCCTCTGGTTGACATTAGGATTGTAACCAAGCCCAAGAACGTGCCAAGATCTATCGAGGGTATAAGTGCGTTTCCAAAATGTTACGAGACCAGGAGGCAGGGTCCCCAACTTCCACAATTGCCTGTCACGATTCTGCAAACAAATTTTCCTTGAAAATGGTAAAAAGCATATTCATGGCACCGGGTGAAAGAAATAGTCAAACCAGCTTCTCAGCTGATCTCTAATTATGATTTATGACTAGCAACGCAAACAAGATGAAATCACTTGGTTTATATGGAACTTTAATGCCTATCTTATAATCTGTTTAGCCAGGATTTACACGTCACTTACCAGCTTCTGCCACCTATGATATAGGTCTGTGATGTTCTGCCGCCTCCACTCCGCTAAATCAAAAATATTCATTCCATATGCCCATCCACAAGCATGTCGGTCAAAGTTCTTTGAGATTAGAGGATTTGAGAAGTTGAGATACCGATCAAATCGATGGAAGCTTTCTCCACAAGTATCAACAGCACCATTAACATTGCCCTTCAAATTGAGGGACCAAAGATCACTAAGGTCCTTCTGCACTACTACATCATCGTCTAGAAACAACACTTTATTGAGTTTTGGGAATATCTCTGGTAGATAAAACCGAAGATGGTTGAGGATGGACAAGTATTTTGGGTTTCGGAACTTCAGATTTGAATCAGAATTAACCCGGTGTGCCCTGAAGTAATAATCAGAGACTGAAGCAGAACCTAACTGCTTAAGGACTGGACTGTAGCTCGAGTTTAACCATGAAAATTCTTCAATGTTCTGAACCTGTATAGCGGCTTTCCCTGGTAAATTACGTAGAAACCACATCCTCATTGCTGCATAATTAAGCCTATCCGTAACAATGTGGAAAACATGTTTTGAAGGGTGCTGCAAGGAATTAAGCGAACATAATGAGTTAGATATATCAACGAAAATCAGGTGGCTAAAATGTCATAATGCACAAATTAATTTGTTTTGATCCAATAAAGGCACGCATGCTCCAACATTCACTTTCCAAGAAGGGTGAATGTTAAGAACAAAATGATTATGACAAACTTAAGATTAAAAGCAAAACCATTTCTCTTTCCACTGGCAGCCAAAGAAAGTACAAGTCAAGCCTCAATAGGAGAGTACATTTACCTTAGCATGGGAAAGAGTTGAGTTTACCACAACAGCAGCTGCTAATATGTTATCAGAGAATAGTGCGTAATGGTACAGTCGAGGGTCTTCTAATTTCTCTTCATCTAGAAAGTTCTGTTGTGAAGAATTCAAGGTATAATACTCGGTAGTTAGCCGCAAAGGCAGGCAATGAAGACCCTTGGTAAGGGTTTTTGCAGTTAATTGTGCCAAGAACGTGGTCTTTTTTCTGTGCACTCGGAGTAGCTCTTCAGTTGAGTGTAGCATAGCCCGAAGTCTTTTTACTAGAGCATCACATTTATCTTGAATGTGCTTACATTTTTCTAGCGATTGCTCCATTGCTTTCAACTTATCGAAGGCGCTGCAAAAATAAGATCAATGTTAACAGATTAAGTAATGTAGAAGCCACATTCTACAGTTAAAATCCTTTGGAAACCTAAAAGAAATTTTAAATAGTAATGATAAAATAGGAGCAGCAGCCTTATTTCAGAAATATGTTACTTTCTTGGCAGATCACTATCCTTGGCTGCATCACCAAGTGCACGTGAAACTTCCTTAATCCGCCCTCGAAGCTCCCTTGTAGCACGTGGGTTGCTTTTGATGGCTGGAAGGGAGATGTACACTTTTGCACGGATGAGCAGGTCTTTGAGGTGACGTACCTGAGCATCTGCTGCTTCAGTCATTATGTCAGATTCACTAGCCAAATGCTCCTCCTGATTCATCTTGCTGGAGGTCTGAGTGTGTGGTTCCTCAAGGCTTATAGCCTATTGATAGAGCAAACAGCGCAAATTAACTCTTAACTACATATACATTAAAGTTAAAAGTTCCCATTCATAGTGAAACCTGTAAATGTGTTAAGACTAAGAACTAGTTTTAGCTGTATAGAAACAAATATTCGGAGGCAAAGCAGTTATTACTCAGTAAGACACAAAGAGTAAAGAAAAATGAATCCTCAGAAATCAAAATCTGCAGAATGCGAGATGGTAAGTAACAGTTACATGCTATAGATATAGTAACGGGATTGAAAGAAATTACCAAGAGTTGAGATTCATTGGCCTGTGTAATGGGGTTGCTAAATCGGGGTTGATGTTCTTCAATCGCAGCAGAAAGCACTCGTGTAAATTTATGCTCCGCCGTCTCTGTCAATTGGGAATTATAAAACCACCATCCCAATTGCACAAAATTAAACTAAAAGAGGGTAATTTTCTTCTTCAAATATTTACCGTTGGGAAAGGAATTTATTGAGTGATCAGAATCTAGTATTCCAAAGGGCTCTTTGAGGGCGGTTGAAGTTTCCTATGATCAAAATCAACGTCAAAATCAACATATATAGCCAGCCCATCCCTGGAAAACAAACGAACTAATCTATTATTATACTACCAGGGGAACAACATGGAGATGCCTGGTATCCCCGGAAAGAGTCTGCACAAAATGAAAGAAAAAACAACCGAATTTTCAAAAATTCTGGTGTTGTTCACGAAATTATGATAATGATGAAAGAATTTCAGAAAGAAACTTACAATTGCTGCAACATCATCAAGAGAATCAAGCCTTGCTGCAGAAACTAAAGTTAAAGAAGGGAAGCAGAAACACAGAAAAATAATAATCGGATATAAATTGAATTATTAAAGTGTGGAAGAAAAAGACATACAAGAATAGGGATCGAAGAAGGCGCCGACCGTGTCGGTGTAAAGAAAGATGGGAGCAATGACGGAAACCGCCAGCAAACTCAACACTATATGCCTTACCTTCACCTTCACCTTCATCTTCTTCCTTTTTTACAACCAACCAGAAAAGAACAAAGAGAGAGGATTCAGTTTCTACTTTTTACTTTACTTTCTCTAGTTTCTGTATGAGATAATGCTCTACTGCTCATCTCATTTTGGTGGCACCCTGTGAGACACACACTCCAACTACAAACACAAATGCTTGTTTTGACCATTGGGTTATTGGGTACAGATTCTCCGCGCGTAACACTCTATATATACAACTCATTATCACATGCATTGCGTTGTATATTAATTATTTTAATAATAACTTAAGTGGCCAAAATTTATGGCAAGTTACAATCATGTGATTTTCAAGACGTAATCGGTACAAATAAAATATTAAAACATTTTCTAAAAGATATAATCAAAATTTTAATGATTATTTTACAAATTTATTGCTCTATGGAAAAAAATGAGTCTTATTATAAAATAATTCTAAATCCATTTACACTGTTTTATTGCTCTATGAAATACCCTTCTACAAGCAAAACTGAAGCTTGAGATCATTGTCAACTTACAGACATTGCTGTTCGTAGACCAGAGTCTAGCACGACTACTTCTACAGGATTGTAATGTCGTGTAGCAGAAATCCTAGCCTTTAGATATAAATGTTACCGTATTTTACATTGGTTGTGAATTAGAAAGACTAGTCTTTAGATATAAATGTTTATTTTCTGGTATTTTGAAACAACTTTTTAAATAAATTCGTAAGATTTAAGAGTTTGAACGAATTTTACTTTATAAATTAATACGAGTTATGACATCTGAATTAAAATCTAAACAAATATTAAAAATTAAATTATTATAAAAGAAATATTATTAAAATAAGACATGATAATATAAACTTAAAAAAAGTATACGTAGTATAATTATATCACTATTGATTTTATGTTCAATCCGTTCTAGAACATAATGTTTGATCCGTGAAATGACCTTAACGCTTAACAAGTAATCTATTCATTTTAAGAATTATGAACTAGACAAAATATTATTTAAAATATTAATAAGCTTAAGATAAAATAGACTAGAGTTCAAAGATAACGTTTTTCCACCCAAACAACCAATCAAAAATTATTTTAGGATCTTGGATGATACACATGAAAACATACAATTTAACCCTTGTCTGGCTTTAGAAGCTGCGTCGTACGTAACACAGCCTGTTATCTGATTCCCTTATCCAACTCTGCTTTTAAATTTCTGTATTGTGAAGGCTAAAGCATTCTTCCCTCGCACTAAAAAGTCTAAAGCCAAACCAAAGGCATTCCTACGCCAAAATATGTTTCAATATTTTCATAAGCGTACGGTCTACATATAAACATTTTAACTGAAATAGTACCGACAAAAACAGGCTTTCACTCAATTCAAATATAAACACAGCATTGCAAAAAAAAATCAACTCCCCATATTCTTCACAATTTCATTTCATCATAGTTCTCACTAAAGAAATCAAAGTTACAACCCAATGGAGAACATATCTAAATGGATTATATAAAGCACACTCTACACCGTATTCAGGGACTATCAAATTAAACAGGGAACTAGAAGAATAAATGAAGAAGTTACATGAACAAGCTGTATTCCATTTAAAAAAATGAGAAGTTGGAATTTCAATTGCAGCAGCCGCCACCTTGAGAAGAAGAACCATCTCGGCCTCCAGATGGCCCTGGAATTCCACCGTATCCAACTTTTATGCCATACGACTTCAAACCAATAAGGAAAAAAAACGAATGTCAAACACAGAATTCACACCACCAAGGCAAAGAAAGAAACAGATCAATTATTTTTCTTCTTTTCTCAATAATCAAAGTAAGTGACTTTTTATATAGTTTTGCATCAAAGCATTCAAACTTCAAAACCTCCTGAAAGAATAATATTGATGATGGATCATGATCTAGGTAGATTAAACCTTGTTTATAAGGCTACTGTAGATAGCTAGCCAAATATTCAAGGACACCTAAATGTAAGGTTAACTTTTTTTGCACCCAATATAAGCCTATAGTACCCTTTCATTCAGCATACTATGAAGCTCATCAACCTTCCTACCAGACCTATCCACACCACAACTTATAGCTATCAAACCAGATTTGTAATTTTTTACTTGGAATTATAATTCCACCACAGTCAATATGCACATTGGCTATATACAACAGTATTACAGATGATTATGTACTTGAAAAGGTACATATAGAAGTATGACAAACAAAAATCTTATCTTAGTAACAACGTATGCTTGAAAAGTTGCTTTCAAACATGATGAAGAATTATGCAAATAGAAGAGAATATCGATTTTCGGACTATTTTTAAAAGAATGATATCGGCTAGTAGAGCTTTACCAGAAAATTCACTAATAGGGAAAATAATAATAATAATCAAGAGGCAATATGCTTCACCCTTTCTGTATTTCAGGCAACTCTAGAAGTTTATAACCTGCTTTCTGTATTTCAAGCTACTCTAGAAGTTCATAACCTGATCAATCATACTCTTTTGAATACTCGGTAGGCATGAATAATCATATATCATATGGAAACATAAAAGAAATTAATGTAAGAAGATGCAAAAGTTGCTAAGAAGAGATAACCTCATTTGAGACATCAAAAACTCCATCCTGAATCTTTGTGTATATGGTTGCAGCAGTTTTTATAAATGCCTGCATAATACCAGAGAACGCGGTAAAAGAGTTGGTAATAGTAAAGCATATAATAGGAGTCAAAAGAAAGTTGTGGAGTATAATGGAGAGTAGAGGAGACCTCCTCAACATTCTGAGCAGTTTTGGCAGAGGCCTCCATGAAGATCAAACCATGCTCCTTCGCGAATTGCTCGCCTTCCTCGGTGGTTACAGCCCTCCTATGAGCAAGATCAGACTTATTACCAATGAGCATAATGGTCATGTTAGCATTAGCATGCTGCCTGGCATCCTCCAACCAGCTAGCCAAGTGATTAAAAGTTTCCCTCCTGTGTATAATCAAGTCAATTACCAATTTAGACTTAAAAATATTGATTGGAGATGTCCAGAAACACAGATGGTAACATGAATATTAAAAGAGTTACCTAGTAATATCGTAAACAAGCAGGGCACCAGCAGCTCCTCTATAGTAGGACCTGGTAATGGATCTGAAGGATTCTTGACCTGCCTGTCCATGTTTTTATATATATAAGAAATTAGATAACCAAAAAAAAATTGTAAAAGAATAAGGGAAAGAGAGAAGAGGGAGAAAATTACGGTGTCCCAGATTTGTAGCTTAATGGGTTTATTGTCGATGGTGATCATCCTGGCCCCAAATTCAACACCGATAGTGAGATCGTGTACTGGCTGAAACCGCTTATCGGTGAACTGGAGAAGAAGACACGATTTCCCCACTCCTTAAAACATCAGATCAGATCAAATCAGATGAGAGATTACCAAAGCCATACCGGATGGCGAAATCATCAATAATCAATAATAATGATAATAACGGAGAGAGAAGGTATTGACTCTATATACCAGTATCACCGATTATTATGTACTTGAAAAGGTAAGCGTAAGACATTCTGATTCTGTTGGAGAAGAAAAGACGACGACGACAATTCACCAAACAAAATACCAAAAATATGAAGGAGAAAAAGATGCTATTATCTTTGGTTCTGGAGACCTATCTCGGCAAAGCCAGAATGTCCTTAATTAATTAAACTAGACAAACACCTAATGGAACCTTCACGAATGCTTCAACACCATTTTGAACTTTTAAGTTACTTTTTTTCAAAGTCGGTCACGGTGATTATGCTTTTAAGCTGCGTTTATTTTATAGAATATAAGATTATTAGTGAAAATAAAATATTATTATAAAATAAGATTATGGTGTATATTATATTTTTTATTTGGTTGATTTAGTAGGAATATAAGATTATTGTGTTTGGCTAAAAGAATAAAAAATTATTAGAATATATATTTGACCAAATTATTCTTATTATATATTTATTTTTTTAACAAGTTGAAAAATATTTATATATTTTCTTTAAAAAAATTAAATTCATATGATTTATATAACTTTTTTACAAAATTAAAAATATAAAAAGGTTTAATGAAAGGGTAAAATTTTATTTTTAACCTCTGAACTTCATATAAAATTTTAATTATAGACTTTTTGTAAATCTAAAATAGTTTAAGAATAAATTAGTAATTTAACATTCGTAGAAATTTTATTATTCAATGAAAGAATGAGGATATTTTTGAAAAAAAAATTAAGGACATTTTAATCCAAAACACCGTTAATCCAACAATACCTAAGGGAAGGGGTTAATGACATTCCCGGTAATATACCTAAAAAATACACTATTGATAATAAAACATTATCAGGAATGACATTTCCGACCAACCAAACGGAGAATGTGGATTCTATCCTCATAGGAATCTCACATTCTCCAAACCAAACACCACCTAGTCTATATTATTATAAATGTTTTCCCGAATTTTAGTGTTACTTAAATAATAATAATAATAATAATAATAATAATAATAATAATAATAATAATAATAATAATAATAATAATAATAATGAAGCAAGTTAAATTTATCTTAATTCATCGTTTTCTTTCTAATGTCGGGTACTTTAACTATTAAATAGGATAATTTTTTTATTTTACTTATTAGAATAATAAGTTATAAATTGAGAAGTTGAATGTATTAACAATTTAAGAATGACGTAAAATTTTATATTAAAGAAATATTTTTAAAATTAAAAGTTAATAGGTGTGAGATTATATAAATTAAAAAAATATAAAACTAATTATATGTTTAATACTCCTCGGTCGATCTTTATAATGATTGAATGAGTGAAATCCACTTCGTGAGTTTCAAACTCCTGTAACTCGGACTTCTTTTACCCGTTATTTTCGACACAAAATAAATAAATTTTAAAATTATTTTAAGAATTTGCCTGTAGACTCTAAAACCACCTACTCACTCGACAAGCTATTCGTCATTTATGCACTACTTTGACTTCACTTTGAGAGGGCAGGGTTCACTCGAGCCCACTGTACCTCTTCCCATCCGGTCGGATGGGTGAACAAACAACCTCGAGATGGTCTTCCGCCGTATTTGGCTCTTTTTACTGATCCATCAGGAAGTACAAAGCCTCTGCAGTATCTCGAACCCATGCCGTCCAGGTTCATCACTGTTATCAGAAGGGCAACTTATGCCGAAAAACAGATACAGAGGGCAGGCAGGTAAGCAGCAATGTCACTCATAACACTTACCCTCAAGTCTCAAGAACATTATTATAACATCAGAAAAAAACTTACCTGACAAAAACTCCACAGCCTCCGACTGCTCTAGCAACCGCATGAAAATCTGCTGCATCATGGAGACTCTAAATAGTTGTTCAGGAGCTTATCAAGATCTCATGACTCATGAGATAGAGATTTTTACAAAAGAATAGGATGCCATGCCACAAATAAAACATGTACCCCAATCTGGAACAACAAATTCATCAAGAAGAATGCTGTTAAAAGCCACAGAAGGTACATGTTGTAGGTTCTGTTGGATAGAAGTCGTCAGAGGACCGTGAGATAGCCCTTTGTTTTACATCGCGGCAATAAAATCAGAGGACATAGTGTGCTTATTAGAAACTAGAATAAAAGAAGGCATTAGATATGGTGAATAGATGTTTTTCAGGTTGGAAATTTTATTTTAACTAGTCTGAAGCTATAAATGAGAGGATATGGATGATCTGGAAATCTGGAATTAATGTGTAATTGAAGGAACTAATGCTCAAAGCATGATTTGTAAAGTAAAAAGGCTGCAATGTGATTTCCTTTTAACTGTTGTTCATGGATTTAATGATGGAATCTCTAGAAGAAATTTATGGAGGCATTTAGAATAGATTAAGATGGAAGTTGCAACTGATGCATGGATATTGTTAGGGGATTTTATATTACTATCTCTACCGATGAAAGTTCTGATTCTTATAGTAGACAGATCATTACTGCTAAAATGTGGAAATTTAAGAATTGTATTGATATATTAGAAGTTTATGATCATCCTTTCAATGGGCCTTTGCACACATTGAGCAGCAGAGTCGTAGACTGCTGTTTAATTCCTGAAACTGATTTTTACTTAGAAAGGAAGGGTTATTTGAATTCCTTGAACAGAGGATGAAACAGAGGGGGCATGCAGTGGTGGTCGTTGCTGACGGAGCAGGGCAGGATTTAATATCCACAACCAAAGCCCAGGAAGAAGAAAAGGACGACTCGGGCAACTAGGTTTTCGTTGATGTCAGAGAAAGTCAGAGATGTCGATGTCAGAGAAAGTCGGAGATGAAGAATTGGTGGGACAGAGGCCATCTAAATGTGTTGTTTATGGTGAAGAATATAGATTCTACTTGCATGATTCGTGCAGTGCAGCAATAGCTACGAAGAACTTGTACTGTACACCCGAGGCTCCCTCTGCAGCTCATGGGCTAATGGGGGGGGGGTATACAGGTTTTGTGACTGATCATATTAACGGAAACAATGCGTATATCCCGTTTATAGATGTAGCACAATCGGCCTGATTTTATCAAGTCCTAGCAAATTTCAGGTTCTTTATATATATATATATATATATATATATATATTACTTATTTCTACCTGGCAATAGCTGTGTCTGTATTAGTTGATATGGTTGTATGTCTAGTACTGCTGATATTTTATGCATATATAATTAATCCATATCGTAGGAAAGGAAAGGAGATTCAGTTCTCAAATATCAACAAACCCACCATAATGCAACAAACAATTCACCATTAGACATGTTGCAATACAATCCCAGCAAAAGCCATCTTATCAGTGCATCAAGTGACTTTATAATAATCCAGGCAGGAAAAGCTAATACAAATAACCACAATCAATAGACATAAGCATGCATCCTATTTTGTTAAACTTCTTTCTAATCGGCTAGGAATGAACTCCATTTAATTTGTTTAAATCTGAAACCAAATGCTTGTCAGAATAGATTACAAGAAGATTGATTATAACATTTGAAGACAAATAAATGAGCATAGAATACACGAGTGGGAGCATTATCCCACACACCTTCATTCCCAAAAGCTGCATATTCTATTTCTGCCTCTTGTAAATCTTTGCCAAGAATGATTTCAACACTGCTTGCACTGCTTTGCTAGGATGAGCATCAATCGAGGTAACAAGCTTCTTGTAGCTTGTGCTTTCGTACTCCTCAAATACACCCTGTCAGTATGGACAAGAATAGGAAATATATTAACCACCCATCAGTTCCTGCTTTCTTTTTATGTTCCAAGAAGAAATCCTGAATAATATCAAACCTTGAGATTAAGCTCATTGTATAGAGCCTTCACTTTAGCAACGTTGGCATGGTCTGGTTTCCCATAGTTCTCCTGGCAGCAAACATAACATAAATTGAGTAAACATATCAATTCTATTAACAAATAAGACAACTGATAGAAACAGTTCCAATCTTACATATAATACTTTCTTCTGATCCTCATTGCAGATTTCCAATGCTTTAACCACCAACCAGGAGCACTTAAAATCTTCGATATCAGTCCCAATCTGAGATTACACACAGCTTGAGTGAGACTTGGCAAAAAAAAATGATGAGTGCTTTCTAATTTTCACTTGAGGACTTTTAGCTCCATAATCCATATCTCACCTTACCAATGGTCTCAGGATTGCCAAAGCAATCCAAATAGTCATCCTGCAGACCCATAATCCATATCTCACCTTACCAATGGTCTCAGGATTGCCAAAGCAATCCAAATAGTCATCCTGCAGACAATGAGAAAATCAAGATTAACAAGTAGGATCTGGTGAAAAAAGAAGAGCATTAATTCCACCTATGAAGAAAGCAGATCAAAAGCACATTTTTGGAGTCATAAACCACGTTGGTAATTCCTAAATGATACTTTCTAAAAGTTCATCTGGTTATGACAGGTTCTTAAATTTACTCTTTTAGTCTGCTATGAGGAAAGCAGATCAAAAGCACATTTTTGGAGTCATAAACCACGTTGGTAATTCCTAAATGATACTTTCTAAAAGTTCATCTGGTTATGACAGGTTCTTAAATTTACTCTTTTAGTCTGCTTTTAGTTACCGTTGATCCACTTTATTTGCAGAATAAATTTGTAGAAGCTGAAAGCCAGATGAATTCCTACAAATATTACCTGTACTGGAAAGTAGATTCCCATGTCAACAAGAATGTTCTTTACATCGGTGTGATTGTCAAGATTTTCACCCGCCAAAACCAGTGCACACGCAACCTGCGTTCATTTAGGTAATATCAGAAATAGCCCATATATTACAATTATCAGATGCTGACGTAAATTATTAAGTGTATAAAGAGAAAGTGTCATATGTGAAAATATTAGCTGTAAGTGCTGCCTAAATAGATAAATGGAGCACTAGAAGCAAAACGGTTAATCTTAGAGGAGATATAGCCAATAAAGAAGAGACTAATCAATCTAACCAACAACCTATTGTTGTACATAAGCATGCGATTGCAAATAATTAAAGGTGCGTGCTTCAAGTGAAATGGGGGTCATACTTACAGGAAGATAAAATGAATAATAGGCAGTCTTGTATTGAACAATGCGACGGTGCCTGAAGAGATATTTAACCAATATATAGATAAGAACAAATATAAGAATTATTATTAGAAAGGGCTGACATGGAAAAAATTGAAACGAGGCAAAGGGTGGAAATTTTCTCCATCAAAGGTAAGTTATCTCCTGTCTTATACGTTGTAGTTGTACATAAAACCTTTATTTATTGAAACAAATAATTGCTAAAGTTTCACTCACTTAGACAATGAGTATTTGGATAGATCCTTTTCTCCTTCAAGTGTTGTAATCAGATCTATCATCTGTCCTGAAGCTGTTTGAAACTCCACCTGTGTAAAACAATTGTGAAAAATATTTAGTATAGTTTTTGAATGAAGAGAATTTAAGATGCATCCAAGTTCATTACCTCATTGAATAGATCTAGCAGATCTACATAGTAAGGTTTCCCACGAAAGTGATTTTTCAGAATCCTGCCGATGTGATTGCGAAGTAGCACACCATCGTTTACAGCAATCAAACCAACCTACAAGGAGTTTAAACAAAGTTAACTGATTTTGGCAGAGGGGAAATATAAGCAGAAGGAAAGCTAATTGACTTGGTACGAAGTACAAACCTTGGGTACTCTGAACCAACAAGGCTGACCACGCCTGGTGTGAGAGTTATCCATTATGTCATCGAGAACAAGAAAATATGCCTGAAGCTGCAGTTTTTATTGTGAGAAAGCGCAAGTCTTTTTCTGTCATTATGCAATGCTAATGAGAAAAAAGATAAGAAACAAACATTGCAGAGTGGTTTAGAGGGATACCCATTCAATACACCAACCGAGAGCACTTGCAAGAAATATCTCATCTTGGGTCAATTCCTTTCCTTCTTTCAACAGGCGGTAGCTATCAATCACAGAGAGTCCACGATTCAGTTTCCCTGAAAACAGTAAACAGAAAACCGACACGTGAATCAAGATCCAAGCCAATAAAAGCTTACAAAATTATCCGAGTCATAGAATACTAGTTAAGTTACCTCCGGGTACATTGTACTCCAGCATCTGCAGGGATAACGTAAATCGGATGGTCAAAAAATGTCCATTTAAAAAAAAAGGGCTGCGGCGACACAGATAGTTCGGTACGTATAACCGGAAAAGGAAGGGGGAGAAAGTGGAATACCCGATCAACCCATTGACGAGAATCATCGGTGAACTCGAAAGAAGGGTCCTGAAGGAGCTCCGATTTGAGCTGGGAATACACATTGAGAAATGCTGCCCTGAGATCCGCCATTAATGCAAAGCCAATATTTGGGGAGACCCAACGTCTTTTTCCTCAATAGTTCCTTCTGGAATGATTGGAACAGCACCTTCTCTCCTCTCCGCTCCACAAGTACAGTGAAGCAGCAAATAAGTAGTTGACAAATTGCTTCAGTTGTAGTGGTATATTTACACGGATGGCGGGATCAAAAAAGGAAGAAGGAAGCGGCAAATGAGAATGGGTAATTGACTCTCGACTCTGACTAATTGCTATTTTATAGACAGCAAGAACTATAGATTGAAAATGTGGGGCGGCCCAGCTTGGATTTGGCGTTAAACTTCAACTGCAAATTTATTCAATCTTCAGTGATTATTATACGGATCTTTAATATATGATTTGCGTGAAAAATATATGTTTAGAAAGAATGATATTCATATATATTTTTAAATAAATAAAAATATACAGAAATAGTATATAAATGAGAAGATAAGAAGTAACCAATGATATTTATGTGTGGATTGAATTTCCAATTTTAGGGTGTAAAAGAGGGGTTTTGGTACCTTACCAAACTTTTTAGTGTACATTTAGCGAGAATTAATTTAGTTGGTATTGATATAGTAGTAATAGAACATATAATTATGTTCGATTTAAAGAGTTAAATTATAAATAGTTTGATTATTACAATTTATATCGTCGTACTATTAAACATCTCACAACTAAACTAGGGTAAACCATATGTTTGGTACCTAAAGTATTACTTTTGTTCTGTTTTGATACCTAGACTTTATTTTATTTCAAAACCATGCCCAATGTAACGTTTAATTTAAGTTTCATTTTGTTACATGCCATTAAAAAAATGAGGGTAAACTACACGTTTAGTACCTAAACTCAGTTTTATTTCATTTTAGAACCTAAACTTTTATTTGTTTCAAAATCATACCTAACGTTCTTTTTTTCGTTTTGGTACCTCGCCGTTAAAAACTTAACATAATTGTTACAACATGGCACTTTTTTTTATAGGTAAATTAAAACATTCATCACTCAACTATCTTTTTCATTCCTATTTTGGTCACTGAAGTTTAATTTTTTTAATTTAATTACTTAACTTTCAAATTACTCATAATTTAATAATTCTAACTTTCAAATTTAATTTTTTTAATTATATATTAATATTTTTAGTTTTAAATTTATATTTAAATTAAAAAATTACTTAAATATATTTTCACTCCTATTTTTGTCACAAAATATATTTAAATTTATATCTGTATATAATATTAATAATAAAATCAATTAAATTAAAATCAAATTCAATCTTTTAATTTTAAATTTCTTTTCCATATTTATTCGTTTATTTGTCATGGGCCGTGATTACATTTATTGATCGTGTGTCTTAAAGGCCCAAAAAAACATTAAAAGGAATACATTTATTGATCGTGTGTCTTAAAGGCCCAAAAAAACATTAAAAGGAATATAAAAAGATGATGATAGAAAGCGCAGCTAAAAAAACAAAAACAATAATATAACATAAACAGGAAAAATAAAAGGGATAAGAGATACAGGTTGGCAATGGGTATGATTTGATTCGATGGTCAAATTTTATGTCATGTGAGGATCACCAGATAAAGTTAGCACTCACAGCACATCGGCAATTTTTGTTTGTTTTATTGTCTAAATTTGAATATTATTAAATAAAGCATGCCACCCACCAGCCCTCCACCACATATTATATTAAAAGAAATGAAATATAAAGGGGCTTACAAGTACAATTTATTTAAAAACACAAAAATAAAATTAATTGAGTTGTTTCAATGATTAAAAGGGAGTGTTATTTTTTATTGAGATATTGAATTCGAGTAACTACGTTTCTAAAATATGTATTGTCAATAATTAAGAAAGATTATGATCAAATACAATAATGTAATCATCTCAGACTATTAAAAATATACAAAAATGAGCCAACAATAATTAAAGTGATTGTAAAAAAAATAAACATCAAATTCATGGTCGGAAACGAAAATAGAATATCTAAATTATTTAATTTAAAAATATATTAACGTATAAAAGATTTTAAATTATTATACATTCGAAGAAGATCCTTCGAAAACTACCAACAAATATCCTAGAATACTTCACCCTCTAATGAGAGCTCCCAACAATTTTCAAAAATATCACATCATCTCTGGAAGCATCTTCCGTCGAGATCGTTTTACGAAGTCCATACTTATTGTTAGTATTAGTGTCTCAGGCATATTGTATGACATGATATTTTGATTATTGGTTTTTATTATTATCATTTACGTGTAATTTTATTATTAATATCCTTAAATAATATTGATAATTATTCTAAATATACTTAATCGATTATTATTGTGGGAACAATAATAAAATAAGATTGGTATGGAATTTGTTAGATATTCATGAGATAAATATGTGAATGAGATTCAAACCAAAATTTATAAGTATTTGTTGAGAATAAATATTGGATTGATTTGTTTTGAGATTAATACATGGATTTAAGCTATATATTAATTTCAAACAGTTATGTCATTAAATCCTTAGACCTGAAATTACTACAGTTCTCAGCATGATAATTGTTATGTTTTGACATAATCAAACATTGACTTTAATCGGACAATTATAAAGGTTATACTTGAAAATGACATGAATCATGTAATGAGATGTGAGTGATTAAGATGGAATTTATCTCTCTTGTCATAAGAGAGATATCTCAAGGCCACTCGATGGTTGAGACTGAGAAATGCATGATCGTGCTCAAATCAGTTGATAAAGATCAATGCTATTTGTTTAGTCAGTTCAACTGAATATCATGACACTGGAGATTGAGTGATATAAGGTTCACATTTTACATGCCTTTTATTCTATCAAAATATCGTGAGATAAAAGGATTATGACATAAGATGCATTAAGGTTGACTCGGATCATGAGCTTTTCATTTAGTTTGGGTAGTCATAATATCTTGCTAGATGATGAGATTTTATCTATTGTCAACGTTAATTGAACCTATAGGGCTACACACAAAGGATGGATAAGAATGGTCGTGGTTATTATTATAAATGATAATTTAATATAATGAGATTATATTAAATTATATTGTATTATTTAAATTTAAATAAGTTAAATTTGTATTCTTTTGTTAGAATATTTTGTTTATGATTATTTATTTATTTGATATAGAAATAATATTAAATAAATAATATAAAAATTTGTATTTTTTTGTTAGATATTTTTTTTATGATTATTTATTTATTTGATATAGAAATAATATTAAATAAATAATATAATTAGATAATTTTTATTAGGATTTGGATAAATTTGATTTTTTTATCAGATAAAAGATCTACTTTATATTATTATTTATTTAAAAAGCATTTTAGACAAATAATAATTATATTATTATTTACTTTAAAAGAGTTTTAAATTAAATATGATAGAAAAACGAAGGATTGATTTTAATCCTAATTAAGTAATGTATATATATATATATATATATATATATATATATAAAATATGCTTAGGGTAACTGGTTAAATTTCTTCTGCCGTCAAAATTCAAAATCCACAAAAATATATTTTGAAAGAAAATTAGAGACAACACGAAATAATTTCCAAACCATAGATTAAGGTAATCTCACAGACTTTATTTTACTGTAGTTAGTATGATATGCATGAGATCTTAAGATTGATATTGGTTATTTAAATTTTCGTTGCGTTATCCTTGTCTCGATTCACAACGCTCCCTTGTCTATTGATATGACTTTTGACATAGCTAAATATGATAGTTGACAAATATATTTGCATCGTTTACGAGTCTATTAATAATAATGATGACCCGAAGCCTGTTATCACCTATCTTATAACCGTTGTATTTATACCTTAAAGAAAGCACGATAAAAAAAACTCTCTCACACTCTATAGATTTCAACTCGCATTCTCACATTGCTAATCTCTCTCTATCCTTAGTCCTTACTCCTCTCTCCACGCACGCATCGTCGATTTACAACCAAATATTTATCATTTGTGATTTTTCATCTAAAAGATATAAACTATTAATGATCGATGATATTAATTTGTTTTATTAACAAAACTTAAATTTAAAATTTAGAGATTGATTTATTTAATATTTAAAATTATTAAATTATTATTGAACTAAAAAATTAGAAGATCAAAATCCACTCATATTTTGATTTGTCGTCGCTCATTAACCTCGAAAGTACACACAAGAAAGCCTAACTATGGTCAAAATCATTGTTGTTATTCGGTGATAAACCAACCCATTCTCCGATTGTTCCGAATTCTTGACTTCTCATTGTACAAACAAATATATATATATATATATATATATATAAACATAAACATTTTAACATTAAGTTATTATTATTTAAATGAAATTCAGTTTTAGTTTTGACTGCTACTTCATTTTAGTAATGGCCGCCTCATTAGACTCGAATTTATCAATATTGGCGTCCTTATCCTATTAATATATGCCTTATTCTTCTTGTTGTCATAAGAAATTTAGTTTTCAAAATTTAAAAAGTAAACAACAAAAATTGAAGTTAAAAATATGTAATGACATGAGGGAAGTGATGGTTAAAACTGTTTTTAACTGCAATAGAGGACAATGAGTACCATATAATTTGTGTGATATAATTAAATAAATGCAAATTCTAAACTATTTAGGATAAAATGTATTTTTATAATATTTATTAAATTTTAAATAATTTATAATTTATATTTTATCTAAATAAATATTATAATTATAATTTTTAGAATGATTTAATATTATTTAAAAAAAATAAATAAATAGTTATTTATTATTTTATTTTCAAATGGAATGAGAAATTATTTAGACATTTAATTTAATAGTTATATAAGTTAAATATTAAATTTAATGAAATAATAATAAATTTTTAATCTAATTCAGTGTTAAGTATTTAGCCCTTTTATATAAAAAGTATGAGACTTGAAATCCAAAACTAATATATATATATATATATATATATATATATTATAATATGGTATAGTTTAAATATTAATTTTGATGAAATTATCACAATTAACATACCTAGTCAAGTGGCTAGGTACATTGCCCCTTTTCTAAAGGTTGGGATTTTGAATTCCTCTATTAACATTTAATGTTTTTCTTTGATTTTATTCTTATAAGGTGATGATACGAAAATATCACTAAATTATTGATGATGAAATAAAATATATATTCTCTCTGTCTCACTAAGTTTGTTTTTATATTGACTTTTTAGAAATAAAATTTTTTTAAACTTTGACCATGATTATTTTAAATATTTCAAACAATTAAATTTTATAAAATATATATTTAAAAATTACTTGATTGAATGTTTTTAAAATATTTGTTTTCATATTTTATCAATAATAAGTTTTAAATAATAATGTGTCAAAGTTAAAAAAAAATTGACTAAAAAGTCAATAAGAGACAAATTTAATAGGATAGAGGGAGTATTAAAATTTTAAAATAAAAAAAAATTAATAACAACTAAATAAAAAAAATACCAAAATAGATGGATGACCAAATAGAGAATTTATCCTAAATAATTTATACTAAGGAGTAGATTTAGACTTGGAACTGTGTTAAGGTATTTTGAGTTTACTCTTTGAGTCCAAAATAGAAAGCAGTTAGGAATTGGGCGTTGCTTAGCCTCATAAACGTGATTCAGAATTGGACTAAGCTCAGCCCACATAAATCAGCAATATTGTCATGCCTTATATATACTCACCACAGTCCCGTCCACCTCAGCTGATTGCAATTTTTAGTACGAATTCTGTTCTCTAAAACATCTTTCTATTTCCCCCACCCCTCACTTCACGAGAAAAATAAAATAAAATGTCTGCTTCATCGGTTCAGCTTTCCCTTTTTAAAGAAGAAAGGAACCCCTAGCATTTCCAAATAATCAGTTTGGTCTTTGCGTATCTCTGTTTTTGAGGTCTCATCTATGAGGACAAAGATGCCCAATATATTTTCAGCTAAGAATGCAAATATGGTTTTAATAATCATGGCCATTGGCATTGTTTTGGTTCTGATAGCACCATCAGCGTTAGGGAAAGGAGGCGCCAGAGGAGGGGGGGGGGGCGGTTTACGAATGGTCACCGTGTCCGTACTCGGGGGCACCCAACTTCATCCGCCGTTGCATTCGACCCTGGCCCTGCTTTTGGATTCGTTCAACTTATGCTGTTTGCTGGGCGAGATAATAATTTTATGCTCTATACTTGTGCGGTAAAAAAAAACCCACCAATTTCTAACCATCCAAGTGCTGTTCGAAGAAACTAACAGGCAACATTTGCCATCAAGATCAGTAGTTTCATGTCTCTTTGTTTTGTTTAAGGAATTCAGGGTCTTTCATTTGCATTTGTACAGCTTCCTTCGACAATGGCTTTAGTTCCGGAACAATGTCTGCATCATCACCGCCTTCTGCTACTTTGATTGCCTTGTCCTTGATGAGTTTTTGAATCGTGGATTGCTCAACGGTTGGGAAAACTGCTCTTAGCATGATATTAAGCAAGCTCTTGTCTTCCTCTTCGATCGGATCTCTCCCAAAGCAACAGACGAAAACCGCATTCAACTTTGCTCGTCTCTGTAACAAGTATATCAGTAACAGTACATACATACATTCGAAAGAATCTGAAATGAACAACATAAAATTGGAAACACAAACAAGCATGAGATAATAGGAACAAGATGAACTGACATCTCTTGCTTCATTCATCATTGCAATAAAAGTCTGCTCTTCAAATTCAATATCATTCGATATCCGAAGCCTTGCCACCCCCTCCAATATCTCCTCGGATTTAAGAAGACCGGCACCGACAGCTGCTAGCCAACAACACAACAGAACATACAAAGGATCCCCTGCCTGTCCGAAAAAAAACACAAAACCCCATCCGAAAATCTTCATTCATTTCATGGTAGAACATAAGAAACTCCAATACCAAGTTACAACAATATCAAAATAACACAAAACAGAGCATGATTCCATCACTTACATCCACCAGAAAATACCCAAAACACAACGTTATTAACATAATTTTAGTGCAAAAGAGTTCAAAAGGTGAAGAAAATTACCCGGCCTCTCCTCTCTTGGAACTCATAAAAGGCTCTGGAATCAGTAACAATACATTTCTTGCCTACCCTTCTTCTAAATTCGGTGAAATCGTGATATTTCCAACTCTGATGCCCCTCAAACATGTTTCCCTGGGTTAAGGCCCATATGGCACATATTTTGGGCCGGGCCTGGTTGTTTGTACTTTCCGTTTTCCTTTTCATTCAGGCACCAGTACTGCGCTACGGTTTATTTTCCACCATTTTTAATTACTTTTGTTGTACCCCACGTGGTTTTATAATTTGTTATGAAAGTAAGCCACTTTTAGCATGCATTGCACGTGTTCCGGGAATCCTAAATTGTTTGTTTAATCATTAATTACTGTTGATTACCTGTTCAAATCCTCCATGCATGTTGGTGCTGGATTGTATTTATTGCTATTATCACGTTTTGATCGTGATTCCTGCCACAGCCTGCCATCTGTCCTTACCCCTGCAACCATTTGATTTTTATTTAGCAGATGAGACATAATTAAACTTTTATAAAAATTAATTTATGATCGGTTGATTTATTAGAATAAGATATTAGATCTCTAAAATAAATTCAATGATTTAAGGCGTTTACGAATAAAATAAATTAGATTTAACCTCGGCAGTGACTAATTCATATTAGTCAATGCCACCACATACTTCCTTTGGCTTTTTACCTTTTTCCAAAGATATAATAGATATTTAAAAAATTAATATTTATATTTAATAAATTTATTATATATTATTTTATATAATATATAAAATTAGATATTAACATATCATCACATATTTATAAAATTGATATCATTTAAATTTATTTTTTTATAATATATCATCATTATACTGATATCTTTTAAGTTTTAACTAAAGATCTTTGTAAACTTTCAATGAATTAACCATCTGTAAAATGCACAAGACAATGAGAAAATAAAAATGATTTTAATTAGCTTGAGACTGAATGCAAGGTGTAGAAGTCTTTCCGCTCTCTTTCTATTATTTCAAATCTCCATCATCTTTCGTATAATACCTACTAAAAACGATGTCCAGTGCTGGTGTTTATTATCATCACTAGTTATCCTTATTTAAGCATTTTTAGTTAACAAAACAGGCTTATATGTGTATTATATTGTGATCAGAAAGTCTTAGTCTAAAGCATAAAATTACACCTTAAATATGGAAATAAAGAAGTCTGTCCAGGTGCAAGTCAACATCTGGAAAAGAGTTCACCCACTTAATTAGTGTCACATGATTAGACAATCACTCAAGGAAAAAAAAAGCAAGCATTCCTTAATCCTTGATGATTATTATTATAGCTGCAGCGCGCGGCCTCACTTAAGCTGCTGGGCATATGGTTCCCCATTTGCCACTGCAGCCTGTGATGAGCCTGCATTGGACTCACCCTTGAGATATCCTCCCACGGTTCCATTCCCAAAGAAGCCATGGCCATGGAGATGGTGATTCCCCACGTGAAAGTTAGCAGGTGCAAAAGCAGCAACACCTAAAGCTCCATAATCAACTACCCTCTTCACCACTGGCTCACCCCTGATCGATCCACGTTCACCCTCCAGTTCCCGGTAGCGATGGAGATATACCGTCAAAGGCTCGATGTAGTCGTCGAAGCCTAGCTTACTCATTGCCCACAGAACATCCTCCGCAGTGATGGTCTTGCGTTGCTCACGTTGGCAGTGCTCGTTGGCTTCTCCCGTTATGAAGCTGATGTACTCGGACACACATTCTTGTATCGTTTCCTTGGCATCGTCGGATATTTTGGCGTGCGGAGGGAGAATCTTGCGCATGATTCTGATAACATTAGCAATCGGCATGAAGCGGTCTTGTTCTCTCACGGTGCACTCGTTGTCATCAGAGTTTGAGTGGTTGTTGTTTGTATGGTTGACTTCGCCCATTCTCATGTTCATCTCCGGCACCTTCAATCCTGGACCAAACAAACTTTCCCAACTTATTTCAAAGACATAAATCACTATTCAAATTATTAAAATTTAAGTATTAATTAGCAAGATTTGGTGATTGACATGGGTGAATGGGACAAAGCATGAAAGGCCACATGAGTTAAAGTTTTGGTACACACTGGACATGGCACCAGTGGTCCTTTTTTCACCGTATAGAAGGCTCTACGTAAGTTAAGCATGCAAAAGGCCCGTTAGAAACTCATAATTTTTTAAGCTGAAAACTTTTTTTTTTGGACTTAAATTTGAAGTTTTGAAATAGAGTTGCTTCCTTTATTCATTTGGCATAGAATGAATGCATGGCTGCCACTTGTTCTCGTGGGCTCAAGTGCCAATGCGTTTCCGATTGGCTTCACACGCTTGCCCTTAGCCCTTTGCTTTGGTTAAGTTAGTTTCCATCATCTTGTGCCTCCACTTGAATCCTCACAAGCACCACCAAATTACAGAGGTATGCAAACAGAAAATCAAGCAGCGTAACGCATCCCGATCAACGAAGAACACGGAGGAAATTAGATAAACGGACATTATCAGGTGGAGATATCATTATCGACCATTGAAAAATACATCAATAAGAAAGCGAGAAACAACAAAAAGAAAAGTTGAAGACACCATCTGCATGTTAATATCGATGGATGGTGGCAAATCCAGGTCAAAGACAGTAACCAAAATATATAGTATCAGTTGCATGCAAGAGAAAATCATAATCAAACTAGACTGCATGACTGAGAGGGGTAGACTAGATACAGTAGAATCATCTCATAAAGAAAGATAAACATTATAAAGATATATTGCAGGTGCAGCTGCATGTGGATAAAATAGAGAAATTAACATGGATCCAAGCAGAAATTTTCACCATTTTTTTCAAGTTATATATATATATAGAGAGAGAGAGAGACTTTACCAGAGGTATTGTCGGGGAGTTTTCGGTAGCCGTGGAAGCCTCCGCGTTCCATCTGTCTCTCCTTTCTTGCAAACTCTCCCCTAGCCGGATCCCCCTCTCGGTCTCTCACACGCAGACAAGTTGAGTAAAGCTTGCGATCTTAGTTGGTTTTTAATCAACACTCAACAGGATACCAAGGAGAGCACTTGGCAAGTGTCATATTTATAGTACTGAAAAGGTTATGCCACGTGGCAAGGCGATGCAAACGATGTATTGTATTAGCTCTTAGCAGCCTCCCGAACCCAAACCCATACCCGAATCTAGACCCGAGCCCAGTCCCAATTGGCTGACTACAGATCCACTGTATGCCAAGGTTCAGGATCGAAGAAGGCCTAGCATGCAGCAGCTGCTTTTCGTCTCTTAGATATGAAGACTTCACGCGCCATTGAACTAAAATTAAAGTAATAGTTTTTAGTAGGGTGTATGAAATGTTCAGAAAAAAAGTTTCACTCTATTCTATTTCATCTTTGCATATTCAAGAGAGCTTTTTGTCACATTCACAGATATAAGAATATATTAGTCGAGATTTAAGATGAAAGATTTTGGTTACGATAGAGGTTCAATAATCATGATGTTATTGGTGGTGGCTTTACTGTTTTTGGCTCGGATCCGAATGCCATCATCGCAGCCCCTCCTGTTTACGTTCGTGATGATCGTCATTTTTATCTCTCTCTCGTGCCTACAGATGATTGATGAATATTCAATAAAACCACGGAAAGTGTGATGACAATAAACTCGGGTTGAAATAATAACCAGCAACACACACATTTGATTTCCGGTTGAAGAATGTTTGGATCTTATATGCAGTTAAATACGTAAACCAAGCATACGCACTTACTGTTGCTTTATTTGAATTTGTGCTTCGAGTTAATGGTTATATATATGGATCCTACATGATAGAGCAAGCATTTGGGTTCATGTCACTAAAAAGTAGAGGAGGATATACAAATTCGGAGTTGTACATGGACCAAATATATTGATTTCACTCGTCTTTTTATCATCATCTTCTCCATTGCCTGGATCTTCTTTATGCTCTTGTGCATCTTGTTTCTTCATCCTTCGCTATGGATACTTGCATTCTGGCTCTCTTGTATACATGATCTACCAGGTTTATAATCCCTTTCACTGTTACTCCATCATTTCGCACATCCGTTTCAATAAGAATACAAGTACAGATTCAATTATTAATTGAACCACTGCCGGTTAATAATTTAGTGCTCAGAAGTATTATTAATTATAAATTATCGAACGGTGAACATGAATTTGATAAAATATTATATTTTGAGTAACATTAGAGAATAGTGATTATAATATATTGTTGACATCTTAAAGCTCATGGTAAAATCCCTCAATTTATAACTTCACTCAATATATAACCCTTAAACGTTAGGGCTTGACTTGACCCCATGGCTGCGACGTGCGGATACAGAGGAATCAACAGACAAAAGCCCTTAACAGTGGCCTTTATCATGTGCCTCTGGGTTTGAGCTGTTTCGTTACTTTCAATATCAGCAAACAGAAGACCACTCACAGGCTTCATGGTAAAGGATAATAGGAAGTTCAAACTCGAAAGCCGAAAAGGATTTGTATTTACTAATCCTATTTCAAATCTCAGAAGAACAAAAAGTTGGATTCACAAATGGACAAGACATTGGCTGTAACCCTAGGCCCAGCCTATGCGTAACGATCAGATCTCGTGAATTACAGTAAAATTTTTCAAAATGTTCTTCGATAATTTAAATCCATATTATAAATAACATCTTTAAAAACATAGTTCATAACGATAAAATCCAAACGAGTAAATATAAAACCATAAGTGACTGAGTAAAATAAAATATGTCATTATCAGTATCAAAGTAAATCTAACATCAGAAGCAAAAGCAATATAAGTCGTAAAACAAGTATTTCAAAATATAGACACATGTCATCGAAAATGAAGGCAATTCAAAAGATAAAAACATTACAACAAAATGTACTGTACGAAATGTGTTGACCCTCCAAGTGTCGGGTCCGGGGTGCCTATCAAGGGTATCTGAAAAGAAAAAAGTTTAGAAAGTGAGCTAGGGAGCTCAGTATGTTCCAATAGTGCATGCAAAACGAAATGAGAAAAATAACCATGTAGTTCAGTAAAATTTCAAAACTCATAATTACCTTTTTCTCGTACACCAAAATGCAGTTCTCTAGAACTGCATCCATAAGGATTTACTCAATGCCCATTGAGTATTGGAGCCAACCTGAGGGAGCATATTGGGGCCTGAGAGCCTACCCAAGAAAGTTCTTAGGGCCTCGGAGCCTACTCAAGGGTCATCTTAGGTCCGTAAGGAATTACCAACTTGATCAGAGTTGAACTCCCATACTCTAGAATCCTACCCAAATAATATCTCAATAAAACAGTTCACATAATAAGTAGTAAATTTCATGGTCCATAAATTGACATAATCATATTTTCCAGGGAAAGCATGTAACCAAATAACATATAACAAATAATCATAGTTCATAAACAATCAACCAGGTAATTAGTAGATCAAAATATCGAGTTGTTAAAAGATTCAGTAAATCAGTAACTTCGGTAAATCACATTTCAAAACAGATAAAACAATCATATATCACATAGGGAACACACATTGCAAAAAGGGATCACTCGGCAAGTCTACTGAGCACCTGCCTCGCCACACTCTATATTATTGCTCGAACCTAATTCATAATGCAACAGAGTTATTATCGGAATAATATTTTAATTCAAATATTCTTACGGTTTACGGATCATAGAATTGGCTCACGGGGTCGAACGGATCAAGAGGAGCTGAGTCGTGCTGTCGAACAGTCGGGAGAGTCTCGTGTACATTCAAATAACAATATCCTAGGTCATTCATTAACCTTAATTTAATTATTCTTAAAAAATATGCATGTTCGGGTTTGACGATCAATTCAGAGGCTTTCATGTTCGAATTTGAAAAAACGGACTTCGTATTCGGACTGAGAACATCCAAAAACATAAAATATGTCTTTTTAGAAAATTTAACTTTTTGGTCAAAGTCAACGCTAGTCAAAGTTAACAGGTTGACTCAACGAGTGACTCATCCGAGTTAACTTAGCTCGACCCGGTTTGGTCTGATTGGACCTGTTCGGTCTGACTGGATCGATTCCAGAAGGCTCCTGGAACGGCCGAGAAGCCTGACGCGCACTGTCGGCTCATAGCGGTGCATGCAGCGGCGATGGAGGTTGTTTTAGACAGTCGATTACATCAAAGGCTATAATTCATCTATTTAATTCCAAAAATAACTCAAGATCATGCTAAAACAATTAGAAATGCTTGAAAAAGAGATCGAAGTCCTCACAAACGGCGACCGACAAAAAACGCGACCGAGTGGGAGCACCACTCGTTTCATGTAGAACATCCCGAGGAGCATGTTGATGAGGGCGATGAGCTGAGACGACCACCAGATCGGTCGCAATTGACAAAAATTCCTCGCGGAAGCTAGGGATTTCGTCGATCGATTTAATATCGATTCAGGGCGAACGACGATGAATCTCGATGACGGGCAAGAGAGGTTTCGATCGGCATAGGACGGCGGTCTTGGTGGTGGCAGCGGTGAACTCCAAGGCGGCCAGACGACGAGAAATTGTGGAGGGACCGATGGTTAAGCTTAGGGATTTTGGGTTTGAAGTCTGAAATGGAGGATGGGTTTTGAGATATTAAAACGGACCGAATAAGTTTAGATGGTAAGAGTATGGTCAACCATGTATTGGGTCAAGGGTTTAAAACCTCTTAGCCACACATTATTTCAATTTTTTTTCTACCGAAAGAAGAAGAAGAAGAATTTAGGGTTAAGTCCCTAAACTTCTTAAACATTCTATATTGACCCATAAAGTTTTAAAATTATCCATTTTGATCCCTTAATTAAATTAACTATGAAATCAATCACCTGCCTCTTCCTTCTTTTCTTCTTTAGGCCTTGTTTTTCCTCTTCCTTCTTCTCTTCTGTGGTTTCGACTAAGGAAATGTAAAAAACGTGTAAATTCAATTCTGCGTTGCTGCTGTTTATTAATGCATGTTGGTAAGGCGAATTTATGTTGGATATTTATCTGATGATAAAAGCAAAGCACCATGCTTGCATGTGGGTTATTAAAGGAATTGTGTTGCAAGCAGATTCAGGTGTCCCGTTTCATTTTCATTTGGATAGTTCCAAGTTTGTTGGGTCGTTCCATATATATAAATTATAATATAGTGCTTGTCAAAAGTATGATTCATATATACCTTCCTTTGGATGCTGATAAATCATAAAAGTCTAAAAAGATGTTGATAAGGTTTTGTTTTCATGAACGATGAATCTCAGGTTAAACTAGGGATGGGCGAGATCCGACCCGACTAGACCCAAAATAATAATAAAAATATTATTTTTATTTAATAAAAACAGTGACTTAATTGGAAAAAATAATATAATGTAAAATTATTTATTTTTTCTAGGTCAGGTCGGGTCGGATATTTTTCACCCGACCCGACCCAAAATTCAATTTTTTTAATAAAAAAACTAACCCGATCGGGTCGGGTCGAAACCGGTCGAGTTGAGATCCCATGTCCATCCCTAGGTTACAAACAGGACCGCCCACCCACAATATGGTTTTTTTTCCTAAAGGGAAAAAATGAAAATCAATTGTGTTTGATTCTGAAATCCAACGGATGTGAACGTGTGATCAGTCTTTAATGAATTAATATGGCCCTTTCAAAGATATAGGCACGGGTCCAAGCTATCCAAAGGGATTCATCACCAACAAGTAAACTCCTAATCAACTGAATAAAACCTGTCTTATTCCATGATCGAAGACCCCTAAACCCTAAGCCTTCTTCAAACTTCAAGTAGCAGATATGCCCCCAATTCACACACCTCCTAACAACCTCCTGAAAAAGCACTAGTTGTCTGCACCAGTAGCTAGTCATGCTACATAAGACAGAATTGATGAGCTGTAGCCTACTCGCATAACTGAGATGTATGCCTGTCCACTGACTCAATCTGACCTTAATTCTTTCAACAAGACTGAGACAGTCCCTCTCGATGAGCTTCCGAATCATCAAAGAAACCCTCAGATACTTGACAGACAACCTCAATAGTAAATAGTTCGATATTATTTATAATTTATGAATATATTTTAATATACAAATTCTTTTATATTATCTTCAAATAAACAATTCAACGTAATAACTCATTAAATAAAAATTATTAATTTAATTTAATTTAATTCGAAACAACTTCATTCCGTTCCACTCCATACAATGACATAGCACGTCACCCTCTCACCCAAAGTTAAGGTAGCTCGATTGATTTCTAATCACTACACTTGATATTATTATTATTATTATATGGATTGATAAAGAGGAGGCCAAAAGGAGTAGTCATTATTGTTTTTGTCATTGTTGTTGTCATTATCATCTTATTATTATTATTATAGATACCCGTTTTTATATGGATCAAAAAATATTAATTATTATTAATATTTATATTATTATTATTACTTTTTTGCAAGCTAGCCCAATTACAACATAAGCCCAATTATTGACCTGAAGCTCAAACCCAACAGCCCAACACAAATACAAGACAAAAACACATTACAACCCAAAATCTGACCCGGATCCAGAACTAACCGGAGGCCCAGCTCCAGACCTGTTTATAACCCGATTCAATTAGGGTTTTGAAACCCTACCTCATAGCTTGTTCCTAACCACTGTCGCCGTCGCCGCCGAAGAAAGATGGACCGATTGACGACGCGTGTGATGCACGTGCTCCTCTAAATAGCGCGTGAGCCACCGCCAAGCCATCCCAAGCCGCCGTTGTCCCCAGATCTGGCCAAACAATACCCAAAACAGTGAAGAATCAGAGCCAATAACCACCAAATCAATTAAATATTTACCAAATAAAAACCCCAAATTAAATAAACCCTAAATCCCAAATTTTTCAAGATTCAATCTACCCAAGTCAGAAATCAAAATCCTACCCCCGTAGATCTCATCATCTCACCCAAAAGAAACATTAAAACACATGCAACAAAGAAATGAGAGGGTTCGAAGGGGAAGAACAAAAAGAAGAAGAGTGAAAACGGAAAAAAATAAAAAGAAAAGAGGATCGAAGAGGTTACCTTTCGAGCTACCTCTGTCGTGGGCTTCACCGAGACCAAAGCTAGGCCACCGTACCGAAGGTAAACAAAAAGGGGGTCATCGTTTTTGGTTTAAGGTTTGGAGGGGTTGAGAGTTTTGAGGGTTAAGAGGGTTTTGAGTGATTTAGAACGAATAGAAAAGAAGAGAGAGGAGAGCAAGAAGGGTTGGGGGTTTATTTTCCCCTTCGAGTTCTCCTCGATGCGAGGATGTGAAGAGAGGGAAATGAGGGAAGAGAATAGAGTAAGAGCTTCTGTTGAGTTAATCGATCAACAGAATCGGCTAATAGAGGGGTGAATTGGCAATTAAAAATTTTGGTGGAAGCTTTTGCAGAAAATTGAAAAGATTTGCACATCGATTTAGAGTGGTTCGACTTTCTCAACCAAAGTCTACGTCCACTACCTTAGCTATCCACACTAAGAATTTTCCAACAAATTCACTAATTTGTTCTTTCTTTTGAGGCCAAAGAGATAACCTTACAACACCCTCAAGAATATACCCCAATTCTTGAGAACACTCTTTCTCAAAGAGAAGATTACAAATTTGCAAACTTATAAGGAAATCCTCACAAAGTAAATTGTTTGCACAATTCTAGAACAAAGAAAAGAACACTCAAGAATGAATACAATTGAGTACAAGTAGTGTTCTTGAAAGCAAAATGAATATTGAATGAAAAATAGGCTTGAAATGCTCAAACTTGAGGTTTGATTCTTTCTCTTTGATTCTCTCTTGATTCTAGTTGTTTGTTGTTTCTTGTTATTGATCAATTGCTTCTAAGTTTGTTTAAATACACCTTCAAATGATTCTAAACGTTGGGGATGATTAGTGGAGTAAATAAAGCCGTTTAAGTGTGAAAATAATTAATTAAAGCAATTGGGAGCGTCAGTGCATCGATGCATACCCTAGGTGCATCGGTGCATCAGTGTAAAATTCAAATATTTTGACCGTTGGACTCTCAGTGCATCGGTGCACTAAGAGTGCATCAAGTGCATTCGATGTTTCAAAATAGCCAGAGTGCATCGATGCATGGCTGGTGCATCAAATGCATTCGATGTTTTCATAAAATCCTCAGTGCATCGGTGCATGGTATGTGCATCGATGCATGAAATGCATTCGATGTTCAATTTAATTCATGGTGCATCGATGCATGGATTGGTGCATCACTCTGAAAAATT